AAGCTCAAGGTGAAAAAATTGCGCCTTACGTTTTTAAAATCAACAATACCCAAACTCTCCAGGAATATCTAGATCAACTTATGAAATTTACCAGGAAGAACGAAAAATAATAAACCATAAACGAGCATTAACACCAACACATGATAAACCAAGAAAGAAACGAAAACTACGGTATTAGATCACATCGCGCAGCACATCTTTTCCTTAACAAAAAAAAGAAATGACGACCGTAGAAGAAACGCGCAAAGAACTGAACAACGCCAAGGTGCAGTTGGAGAAGGCGGAGAGAGCATAGGAGAAGTTCGAGGGGGACGACAACGGAGGGAAGTGGCTGGATGGGTTAAACGGGAAGCAGCGGAGAAGAGATAGACTTGACGAAGACGAGAGGGAAAAGCAGAAGGAGCTTGCTGCGGAGAAGAAGAGGCTGGATGAGAAGGTGGATTACTGGGAGAAGCAAGTGGGAGAGTGGGGAAAGAAACTTCGCGAGCTGGATGCTCAACCAGGTAACGACTTTGTGACTCGGGTGTTGGGGGCATAGAGTAGTGTGTACATAGGGTAGAGTAGACATAGTGAAGGAGTTTTTAATATCATTTCGTGACTTGGTGGGTAGAGGCCCAGCAAATATGCAAAGACGTTTTGGTTGTAACATAGTCATATTGAGAAATGTTTCTAATATATTCATTGCTTTGTGCTTCCAGGAAAGAGAAAGGCAGAATTTAATGGTAAGAATTAGATTTTTATTTCTAATTATTAACCATATTTTTATTTCATCATTTTACAAACATTTCCACAGAGACAAGAATCCCAAAGAGAAGATTCCTTGTTAATAGTGCCATCACACGAGGAGAACGTTCCATCTGTTACTTTGTAGACTTGAAAGAGCAGAACAAACTACTACTGAAGAGGATTCAGGCTGGTGAATTCATTGCATTACATGGCCCAAGAGCTTCTGGTAAATCCACACAGGCACTGATGATCCAGGAACAGCTACAAGAAGAAGGGTTCATTTGTATATAGTAAGTCAGGTCTAGTTTAATCATGTGTTTTCCATGTAGAATGTAAAACTAGAACTATTTTTTTTTCTCTTCTGAATAGTGCATCTTTTGAACAAGTCAACATTAGAGATGGAACAGATGTCTTCTGGCAAACACTTGGCAAAGCACTTCAACGTGATGCAACAGAATTCCTTGGTCCTCTAGAACACCTGAAAATTAAAACTGCAAGTGATTTTCTTGATATGTTTCATCGAACAAAATGGAAATTTTCTGATGCTGTGCTTATACTTGATGAGTTTGATACACTGTACAATGCAACAGAGGATGTTCTCAACTCGTGCTTGACAACATTTCGTAGCATCAAGAGTAAAAAAGATGACTACTTTATACACTCTATGGTTGCCATTGGCCCTTTTAGCATTTTGTATATAGACTCAAAAAGATTGACTACATCACCATTTAATGTGAAGACACCATTCCAGAATCAAAATTTCACACTCGACCAAGTACACACTTTATACAACGAATTCACAGAGGAATATGCCTTGATCATTGATCTGCAAGTCATTGAAGATGTTTTCATGCAAACGAATGGGTATGCTATTAGTAAGTCAGAGTTATTGGAAACAATTCTTACATGATATAAAGAAGTAAATTTTTTAAATACTTCTAATCATGCTGTAATTCTTGGGTTCCATAGTGGATTTGATGTAAATTAGTTTCATATACTTTATTTTTATATATAGAGGTGATCCTATATTGCTCCTGTTATGGTTTATATTCCTCACCTTCTGGTATGATAATGATAATAATAAAGGGAACAATTAAATTTAACAAGTCCATGAGCACCATTATTACTTTTCAAAGTGTCATCAGTCATGCTGGTCAATTTTACAGCCACATCAGCCTCACATTTATGTCACATAACAGAATGTTCACTTTGTCTGGTTTTGTTGCAGTCTGCCCCATTTGTTCTGATTGCCCTAATGCATTGTAGTACCCAGCAAGGTCATTATAAGCAGTTTTGAGTGCTGCTATTATCTGTGCAATCTTAATGTAGTGCACCATTACTATATCATTTGGGCATCATAATCAGTATAATCATGTCAGTCAAAGGGTCCATGACAACTGTACCAGGAACACTGCTCCACACATTACAATGGAGTAGGATATAGGAGTCTTGACACAGGAGCTGGTATCACTAGCTTGTGGATTGCATATTAATATGGGTTTGTCTTTATTATTGTTTGCCACTCTTGACTCATAAAGGTGGGATAATAATAATAATTTAAATTATGTTGTTTCCACTCAGTCTAGGTCATTCCCACTTCACATGATGATGGTGGCCAATTTCTGTCATCAGACAACATGATGCAGGCCACGTGTGAAATATCAATACTGCACCTCGTGACAGGATCACATTTTGTTTGTCTCTCATTCACCTCAATTTTTAGGTATGTATATTTTTGTAAAGCAAACAGCCTAAAGCCGTACTCAAACTACCGATGCATTATGGCTATATCTTTGTACAGAAGCGCGTTGATAAGCCTTTCGAACAAGCAAGCTCAAACATGTCTTCTCACTTTTGAAGTTAAGTATTTGAGATGTGCAATACGCAAGTAACAGCTGGGTTCAAGGGTTAGAATATGTTCCAGTCTTAGGACACATTGTGATATATTGACAACCACCGAGTAGCCAGCTGGATTCGTTCTAGCAGGTGAGAGAGGAGTTCGTCTTCCCTCGGCGCCCTTGAGTTAGTTGCCATGACGCAACAGATTGGTTCGTCCTAATTGGTTGTCAGGCTTCGTGCTGTGTTATGGTTATGGTCCATCTCAATCGCATAAGACATTCTGCAATTAAAAAGTACTATTCGTCTTATACTAAAGCGTAAAGTAAAAGGTAAAGTTAATTATCGAGCTTTATAGCGGAACTAATGTCTCTGATATATATAGAAAACTTCTATAAATTTGAGTATGGATTTCTTCCCATTCTTTCATCAGATCGTTTAGCCATGCAGTACTTAAACCACTTTTTAGTATACTGCGACATAATAACTCTTCTCCGATTAGCCTATCCCGATCTGTTAAAATTTTCTAGTATCTTCTTGTCTTTCTATTCCACCACGATAGAAGCGTATGTCTCTTTCTAAGCCATCGCGGAAGCATCCTATCTTTCTCAGCCTTAGTAATAACTGAAAATTTTCGGGATTACGGTCATTTTCAACAGCATATTGATAAAGACATTCCATCTTAGTTGGGATTAGTCCTAGGAATTGGTTGACGAGATGACGTAGATGAATTCATTGAACCGATTTCTTTGGCCCATCTGAAGAAGTGCAAGAGGTAGACATACAGTATGTACGTGACAATCAGACTGAATTAGCCAGAGAAGTCAATAATTTAAAGCGATTAGTCAAGCAATTAGAAAAAGAGGTTAACCAGTTAAAAGAAGAGGAAAATGAATAAAGTTGGAGGGTTTGGGGCACTAGCCCGGTCAACCCTCCTCCCCAGCGTTTCTACCTTTTCTTAGCATGTACGTGACAATTTGTCTCGCCGAATAGTACTTTGTGCCTGGCAATTCATATCATTAACTTTTTGGAAATATTTTGAACTTGAACATCCTTTAGACTTGAAATAACACTTGTGCTATAAGTCACTTGACTAATTTATATATTTCTATTACTTCGTACAACACATACAGTGACTTCCATAAATATTGCACCACTCATGACAGAATTTTTAAACTATGGTCTTTAACTGACCAAAAGTG